GAAATAGTCAGTTATCGCTCACAACTGAAAGATATGGTATTTGCTTCTTTCCAGCTACAAACGATATTTACAGTTCACCACTTTTACGGCTACTACATTTTGTACTTATTGTGCACATCTTGATGCGTCATTTAGTGGCATTTCAGAATTGAACTGCCAAACAGGAAGAAGTTCAGATGTTACATTTACAGTAGAGTCACTACTGTTGAAAATATGAAGTTACTGTTGTCATATACTAATACTCTTGTCCCTTTTGGAACTGAAGAACATTCCCATCAGTATCTACAGAAAGTAGATGTCATGAAATACAGATGGAAACGTTTGCAATCTTACTCACACATAAAAAGATGTTTAGTAGAAGAGTATTCACTCTTCACACCTAATTCACACTTTTTCTAGTATACTCATCCTTTAATAGCTGGTTAAATATATCGCAACCACCAGAAATGATACAAGTTAGCAAATGTCAAATGGACGTTCCCTATCTAACCTGAGATTTTGTCAGTAAATACCCTATTTGGGCTGATGCAACTCCTTCAGTAGGTGTAATTGTCAAATCATTCTACCACTTCACTCAGTATACTTGAACTAGAAGTAGCTGCAGACCAATCCTGAACCATCCTCCCACGTTGAATTGGTACGAAACACATGCCGAAAATACAAATGTTTCTGGTGAAGGTGCTCAAAAGACCCTGCATTTAGCAGCATCGTCGCTTAAGGAGTTCCCGCTTATGATAACCATGAACCTTGGGATCTAGAAAACGACGTCAGTTGGACTGATCTCCATATGGTTGACATAAGAAGGCTTCTCTTCCTTCTCGCAGACTGGTGTGATCGGATAAGTAGACTAGTCTGATAGAACTACATCTGATTCTTTTACGATATCTAATTTCTCCGTCACTACTCGGTAATTTCCTACCACCATCCTTACAAACTTCTGGCGAAAAACCACTAGGTCCTACTACTTTGCATCGTTCCAAGTTTGAAACAACCTTTTCAACTTTCAGAAGGTTAGAAGGATCGATATCTGCGTCCCATTGGGGCTAGCACTGTTAACTGAGCAATTAATGTCGTACTGTAAACTAGTTAAACACATCTCCACACTGTTTTGAAAATGTCCAAGCCATCTGTCCTGAAACGTTGTCAGAGTCCCATCAGTTTCACTGATGGTCTCACCATCGTTATCTTCTTTTTGGTATCCTCAAAGTGCACAAAAATTGCTGGCTATTAATCAATGTTGATGCCTTCTTCAACTCATCGGCTTTCGAAGCCCACAAGTGCTCGCAATCATTTCACAGGTTCTTAGCCAGTTTACGTTTGGGCTGCTTTCGTTCCTCCGTGTTTTCAGAGCTACCTGGAATGATTTTTCTCGTGATAATCAGTCTGGATGACGTTTCGGAATTCGGCTGACGTCTGCTAACCTTTAGACATATGTTACCAACTATCTTTACCAAGATAATATCACACCAGATTTCCTCGGGATGAGAATCGCTGTATCGTTCAAGTAGATGGTTAGATGATTAAAAACGTACTTGAAACTCTCATTTTCTAATAGAGGTTTAACTACTGCACCTTTTCTGCGACCAATGAAGCGCAAATATACGTGTGCTCTTACTAACGCTAGATAGGAATTCAAATAGATGATCCAGAAAGGGTGGAAATCCTTCACTGATCCTCTCCAACGATGGCCTGTTGCAATATGATCTGTCTGTATCCATCGTTTGTTTGATGTCGATGGACGTCAAGTGAGACAGTGTCTCTCTTCATACTTAAAGTGTGTGGTGGTGAGAAACAAGGGTCGGCCAGAACAAGATTGCAAGAAACGATCACGAAGAAACGGCATGGATATCTACTCAGTAACCTTGTAGACATTCTCATATTAGGCAGTGGACCACAACTACTTTGTGAAGGATAACGATACCATCTTGCTGCCCTAACATCAGTAGTTGGAGCAGTGTTTGACCTCATTATTTGACTCCTAAAAATCTAAGCCACAAATCTAGACACTCTAGTTGTTTTGTTGACACGAATTCTGCAAATCCTTCTGACATGTCTCTAATTTGTTCAAGCTCTCTATTTGTGTATTTAATTCACCTGTTATTATGAATATATTTGAGTGTTTTGCTTTATATAGGGAAAGTGACAGCTTTTAATAGAATTCACACTTAGCACTTTTCAAACTCCAGTCGGTGAATGCGTGGATAGAGACCATGTATAGACATTGGATGTCTCACGACCCTTTCTAGTTTACAAAAAATTCATTCAGTCAAATAGCACACATACTGCTGTTGACTGGTATCCAGCCGATAGGTGTGCCTTGTGCTCTACACCTGTATGCAGGAAAACTAGCCACTTGATCTCCATACACTTGCAAAGTGAATTTTGAAGATTCACAGCATCGGTCAGGTGAAGTCAATTAAATAAACACACTCAACTCCCGTATATGTGTCTTAGAGACACAGCATACATCCAAAGCTCAAGATTCCAGAGTTCTGGCAAGCGATACTTGCTATTCGATTTGGCATAGAGTTCAGACATTGAAAGCTCCAAAACGAAAACGATGGCTGGGACTTAAGAGAGTATGAATGATGCTTCAATTACTCTAATCGTTGACAACGATTGCAGAGTAAAAGGTTGAGGGTGTGAGAGTCTTAATATTGGTATCAGGAAGTGAACCCAAGAGAAGAGACAGAGGTAAGGGGGTGGGTCATGTTTGGTTGGATTTTGTATACTGCTAGAAGCGTGCAGGCAGTTGACACTTCCCGTCTGCCCACACTGTGGAAATTGTTTCTCTAGGATACCTGAGACTGAAAAAGACTTGTGTGGTTACATAGCCCAAGAGAAACCTGCTTGACACCTATTACACACAGCTTTTTGAAGGTTACTGGTTCTCGATTTGGTTGATATGAGAAAACCCCAGATCGCTGGTACTGGAAGACCGCAGGGTTGGAAGAAGTGTAATAATTTTGTGACTGATCTTTTCTAACCCCCATTCTCACTAAAAAAAGTAGCATGGCACTGCTGATGATACATAGAAAGTACTTACTATTGTCTCATCCCATCCGGTGAGCGGAACGATTACATCATCAGATCCCATCATCGCGTAGTAATTTACGCTATTGTGGTAACGGCTTTCTGTTTCTACTAAGTGACAGGCCTGTTTATTATTCAAGGATCTCAAAAATAATCGCTGTAGTCAGTATATTTCGTTGTGTCACTGTGATGGGCAAATCGAATCCCCACGTCAAGGTAGTAAAATTCGGTTGAGGTTTCGGGATATATGGGAGACGTTGTCGCAGGTCTTCGTAAATTACGACAAACTGGAAAAGCATGGTATGGCTTTATTTCTAGTACTTGAAATATAACTAGTATCATATATATATATATATATATATATATATATATATATATATATATATATATATATATATATATATATATATATATATATAGGAACTTTTAGTTGCTCAAATTTTTTTATTCAAACAACGATCAGCACTGAACTGATTTTTTCCCGTCCTCAGAATTTGGAACCTTTAGATCCCATCTAGTACTCTAAATTACCTAGTGATTGTTTCAATATGGAAACATCTTCATGCGTTTTACTAGTTTCTGCATAAAATCGTTATGACTTTATAACCAAAGCCAAACGATATAGCGTGACAGACTATCTTAGCCATTGCTAATTCAAGCAACATTATAGGTAGGAATATAATTGACGATAGTAAGTTGATCTGCGTGAGTAAAAATTCCAAAGAATTCATTTATAAATTTCTCAATATTGTCAAAATAGAAGTGAAGTTAGAGAAATTTATCATAAAACCGGATTATTGGTACAAAACTGATGTTTTGCGAATGTATGAACGTATTCATGGGAGTTTAAAGCCAGAAATTTTTAATTTCTTAGTCGATCCCACTCATTTAACGAGTCACATCAGGCAGATACTTATAAAAGTAGAACAAATGAAAGTGATCAAAGCTGGAATAGGTTGTTGTGTTGTAAGGAAAACTGATTCTATATTGACCTTTAAAGCAAAAAACTTCTCTAAAATGGAGGTCGAACACAAAATCATGCATATGTTCTATGAAAATTTTACAAACAAAAGAACAGTAAAGCAGAATCTGTGTTTGATAGTTAACGTCTTTTCCAAGTGTACTTAGATACTTTATACACTCTCAAATCTATACAAGCAATTTCAAAACAAACATTGTCGGTCAGTAGAAGGATGATGTTTTACTTATCTTCATCGATGTTGTCTTCCCTTTTGCCTTTTCAGACTCTAGTTAGCTAAATTAGCGGTTATTTCAAAAACTATTCGTACCATATGCTAACTAGTTGCCTAAATATTTTTCCTAAGGTGGATTTAAGAAGCCTAAAGGGCTGTCACAGATTTTATTATTTCACCTGTGACAATAAACTAGACCAAGTTTGAGATGTCAAGGGTCTACAGAGTTTGATAAATCTCTTCTCTATTGATATTACTAAACACTTGTAGCATATTAGAATACTGCGTTTAAGTGAGAAGAAATCTATGAAACAAAAAGTTAAATTCATTTATTTTTTCTTAGCTTCATCTTTATGCTAGATAAATGTATATTCACATTGAAACTCGACTTCAAATGAATATATCGAGTCACCAGTCTTACTTTTTGAAGGTGTTTTGTATTGAACTTCATTTCAACTATTTTCAGATATCCGATTTCACTGACTCACATGTTCGTTATTACTGCTTATCAGTTCTTTTCTCATTTTGTATCTGTCTGTTTATGTATTTACCTTACTCATAGTCAGACTGCTTCTTTAGTCTATCGATTACCACTAGTATAACAAAGTAGGACTCATTGAGAAGAAAAAACCATTTCATGAATAGTTGAATAAGCTATTCGCGCGTTGTGTTAAACGCTATCACCACCAATAGACTTTAATTAACAAAAATCTATATACCACTTATGAGCTAGTAAAATAGTGACTACCGCCCCCACTAGTCTTGCGTATTAAAATTGGTTTAGCAGTAGTTATATTAGTACGCACAAACCATTGGTTAATCATTATTAAGAACTATACGGAAAATATAAGTGAGTATAAGAGAGATATAAATATTGTAAACAAAGAGGCGGAGAAGAAACTGAAATCAAATAATCAAGTACTCTTTGAATATTTCATTAGTTTAATTGTGATTTACTTGAATAGCCATTACGAAATTAAACTGTGTGACAGCTATCAGACACAAAACCTTAAGAAGTTAAATAAGGTAAGGTTTTAAATAATTGACTTTAAATTTTCTCTAATATTTTTCTACATGGTGTTGAGTAGCCATGAAGTCTAAGCGCTCAACGAGTAAAGTACGTAACTCTGAACCTATCGACGATATATTACGTCATGTGGGAACCAAACAATACCTATTTCTGGAAACACATATATGTACTATTTATCGAGTTACATGTGCCCCAGGGGAAACATTTTCTGAGTCTAAAGCAATGTCATTAATAGAAAAATATCACCGCAAAAGACAAGCACATTGCAATGCAGGTCTACTGGAGGATCGTTTCAGTTTGGAACGTACTAAAACAACTGGGAAAATACCATTTCGTCCATGGGTATCATACAAAGAAATTTCGCATTTCTATGTGAGCAACACTAGACCTGAATATTTTGTACTATGCGTTGATTCTCAACGAAGTTTGCAAAAGTATTATGAGATATACAAGTGTAAGACACCAGCAAATGTTAGAAAAGTTGAAGAACTAATGAGAAGAGCAATGAATGATCCAGACAAAAAACTGCGGGATATTAATGCATTGAGACAAGTGGCGGTTAAAGACAGTGATCGAATTCGTTCTCTGCCAAACTTTGATGAAGAAAATATACGTGATACAATGATCGAAGATGAAAATAATCGATCTCCTTCACCACATTATCAATATCCATCGCCAACACCAGTGCGCAAGTTACCTTCCCCAGTTATGGTCTCCCCAGTAAAACAAATACATGTAAATGCAGCTGCACCTAGCCCGCTAATTAATTATGAACGTTATAATGTTGATGACTTAGAAAATGTCACATACATTAAAATTGACCCTAGCAAAGGCCCTATGATTGATAAAGAAGGACCAATTTACATGTTTTTCTCAAGGCAAATGAACAATTCGAAGGAAAAAAGTCCGTACAACAGCTATGTTAACCACGATGCAGCTTCTTGGAATAATATAAGTAGAAATAATAACATAAACTATTCACCATGATGAATAAATTACAGAAAATAATTTTGTCAGCAGTATAATAGATTTTTTTACACATACAAAGATTCACGTATTGATATGCACGCAAACATATTATGATTAAGTGAAGAAATTGTATTAAAACTTCCGTCTTACCTGACTACTGCATTAAAATTATTCAAAATTATTACACCTTTATCATTCTTATGATATTATTCATCGTCCTATGCTTTACTGAATGCTTTTCGTTTCGATTGTTTATTACAGTTTACTAGTAAACACTCAGGTCAGTAATACTGTTTCTGCTCAGATTTATGTTTCATTTTCGTTGAAGATATCACTCTGGAGACCTTCTATGCTAGTAGACCGTTTACCACGGAATCTTTTTCTCTCGCTGCCCTACCCACACAATATGATTTATCACACGATGTGATATTTCTTAATTGCCTAATAAATTATGTAGTCATCCATTCAGTAACAAAATTATGCTTATGTCTAAAAAATAAACCATATTTTATATTATACTTCGCCTTTAAATATTAGCAAATTATCGAAAATTCTGCTTATTATGGAAATAATATAACAATATTGTCGTATATCTTACAAATAAATACATAAATATTGTCATGTTCAACTTTTCTATGAGATAAAGAAACTTTGCTTTTCAGATAAACTGCACTATTCATAAATTTTGATAGTATAAAATAAAAATATGTAGGTTCTATTTGACTAAGTTTCGTTTCAATTTGATGAAGTCAAATTTTTGCTTTTGACTAACGCTAAAATTTTGTTTCGGCAAACATCGATTATTTATCCCGCCCTTGTAAACTAAGCAGCTTAGTTATAGTAAAAAACACTAGTTAGCTAGATCTATAATCATCGTTAACCGAAGACGCTGCTAAAAATCACGAAAATCCTGATTACTTATCAGCTGTACAGAAAGACTGAACTTAGTTGAGTTCATTACACAAATTGAAAGGCGTTAGCGACAAGAAAGTTTTAGGAATGATCATTTCAAGAGGCTTCAGCCGGGCCATTCAAGGAATTAATTTGATCACCAAGTTATTTATTATGCTGAGTGAATTCCAGTAATCTATAAAGTGGAAGAAACGTATCTCTGGTTAAGCTTAGGTTTTAGAGCTTCCAACAATAATTGGTTGATTATAAGACCGAAAAATCTACCAATGGATAAAAAGATGAAAGTGGTGTGATTTAGCTGCCTCTTTCTAGATATCAAATTAAAAATCCAGAAGCTATATCTCATGCATCACAACTAAATCTTGTCTACAACTGCGAAAATTATTAGTGAAACTTCTCAATCAAATTGAAGAACTATAAAACTAGTACTGGTGCTAAAAGGATGCGGTGGCATAGTCTACAAATGAAACTATCTTTTACTTTGAAAACTTTAATTAAAGGATTCTGGGTTGATATGAAACTTCCTAAAATGCGTAAGAACCTAAGAAATTCAAAGGGGCGATGAAATTGCTTGGTAAAACTATGATGCTCAAGGAAAATACTTTCTACTGAAATGTTGATGAGAAGGTAAGTAAAATTTTTATGTTGCTGTGACGTCGACTTAGTAAAGTCTGTAGCTTCCCTAACTATACAACACTTACTGAAAAAGCCTATCTGAATGCTGTATCTATGCAAGTAACTGTTCAGTTAGCATATTAGGTTAATCAAATAAAATTTAATAAGCCCGCGTCAGGTCATATTTAAGTCATCTATCTGAAAATGCATGTAACTGAGACATTTTCCAAACTCAAGAAAAGACTTTAGTCAAACGTTTGAAAATTGTTGTAACAGTACACTTAGAAATGCGTAGTACATTTGAAGACTCTTGTATGCGCTTGCATCTTTCATCGAGATTGGTAAACAAATACTTCATCTATCTCCTTACCTTGATATAACTTTATTGGTTTTCCTTTGAGTTTATTTTTTACGCAGTTCTGAATAAAAGCGTGTCCAATTTAATCCCGATCTGATGATTGTCTATCCATTATTATTTCTTTATGCTTATTAAACTTTGCTTGACATATGTATTTTGATAGATATAACGAAATTAATTTTTTGCGCGATAGCTCACGTCATATAATCCTTGAAAATAATATATTTGCATTTGAAATATTTATCTCTATCTAATCAAATCCTAATTCTATTTTTTCACTGGTCGTTGCTTAACAGTTTTACCACCTTAGTCGGAGGAAGGATTCCAAATTAAAGAGGCTGCACTGAACTTGACATCTTTTTCATATAGAAACACAATGGCTATGCAGCCAATATTAGTGAAATAAATACCATTCTCGTTTGGAGATTAAACAATGGTTGCATAGACGAACGAAACGTCTCATAAAATTTATTATTATTACTAGAATACAAAAATGGTACAGCAAAAGCACCAAGAAATCCGTCACAAAATAGTATAACAATATTGTGAAGGGAAGTAGGTAAGTTAGGGTGAAAAACAATAAGAACAGCTTGATAGAAGGTCACTTCAGTAAGGTACATCCAAAACAAAACACTCATTACTTTTCAGCGGCTGAAGATAGAATGAAGCCACAGCGTGGCCGCCACTGAGTCATATCTGATAACATCTCAAGCCACTGAGTTGCGTGATCTCTCGGACCCCACCCAGGGAGTCGTTGTGCACCAATAGATGCTAACACGATACAACTATCCTTCATCCCACGGCGCCACAACACACACCACTCCTCCACCTCTTCCATCCAGTCTTGTAAGAGAGAGACTTTACTTCTGTAAGTGTAGTAATAATAATAACGATTACGTTATGAAAGACTAGAATACATTCACAAAAGTTACGCCAGTTAGCGAAATTTCACCGCATGTTATTCATCTTGTATAGATAGACATAAATCTGTTAAAGTTGACTAAAAACATCCAAATAACATTCAACCATGAGGTACAATTCTTTTGGCCATTATATACAGGATATTTTTTCTATCTACTTGCGTCCACAACCAGCAAGTTACTTGTCTTGGATGATGATACATGTTATTAGACTGAAAAAGCGTTTTACTTGACAAAGTCATCAACTTTTCTGCTATCTCTTTGTGTTTAGAACAAAACACCACAGGAATGTAGACAAGTGTTTGCTTGTCACTGCTATATTTTATTGAGAGCAACTTATCTACTAGTTCTATGTACAGCAAATGTTTTTACCAGCATTCTCTGGATAAACTACAGATATAAGAGAGAGAGAGAGATTTGAACGCGTTGTGGTGCATACTTTTATGTGAGACTGGTTCACTAGATATAACTCAGAATGATAAACAGTCATTTACTGTATGATATTTCTAGGCAAATCTATTATTCATAATCATATCAGCGTAGTCATACGTTTGCCAATTGTTTTGTTTGAATGGAATTAGGGATTTCAAAATGTCTGCAGTCGGCAACGAACAATTCCTGTTGCAAGTGTTAACACTGATTTTAAGTTCAACAGTCAACCACTTGTTTCAACTATCTATTCCAAATTGTAGAGCAATAGCTCTGTCACATTGCATAATGAGCTAATAAATATTCACGTGCATCGGAATGGCTGATCTTCTCTTTTTAATGTTAAACTTTATTAGGACTACCGTAATAAATTTCAGTAAACCTCTACAAACAAATATAGTGACTGAATGTCACTCACTGTCTACATCACATACATAACTGGATTTCGTTAATTAGATTCGAAAACTGTGTAACTATATCTACATGGTTATGGGCGGTGAAAAGTGCTCGGAACGTTATAAAATAATTAGTACCATAATTTATCAAGCAGAGTTATTTTATATGAGAATTAGGATAATCATGTTTTAGAAAGTAACTACAGAAACGGTCAGCTGACATTTCTAGTGTTTAAAACTCATATTGTGAAACACTTTGTACTGAAGTAAATACTTTACAGGGTAATGATAATAATTAAGTTCACAGGAGATAAGTAATGGTTGGAAGCAACAGTTACATGTTTCATAAATGTCATCTGCAAGACTACAAATTGTGAAATAGGGGTTGTTGATATAACGTTGCTAAAGGAAGATATTTAGGTACTAGATAAAATTCTTTCCAAAGTGAAATGTTGAGAAGTTCTATATACGTACAGCATCTTGTCTACTTACCCTACCGGTGAAAAGTGTTTCATCACAATACATATCACTCACGTAATGGATCTGTTAACTTAAGCCAGTTTATCCTCGATAATCTTACGTAGCCTTATTTTGTGGAATGGTATTGGTCTAATTTAACTGGTTTGGTTTCGAAATATTTAAGCCATTAGTTACCTACTGGAAATGTTGCAGTTAGGCACGGGAAACGACGGTCACTTTGAAAAGACAGCATCCGTTTTGTCCTCTTTCTGAAGTGGCTTTTTATTGTCACATTTTAATTATATCTTCTAGATGTGTAATAACATTAGTTCTTATTTTCGCCCATAGTCAGGTAAGTAGTATTTATCTGAGTTAGTAGACCTTAAAAGATATACGATCGACCCATTAGATTCAATACTTCGTGACGCAGGCAACCAGCTCCGAGTTAACATGAACCTTTTCAGGTTTTTAATTATATGCCACTGATGTATACTAACAGTTTCAAAGTCCAGGTTCAGCCATTCTTCCTCTGAGTGAATCCTAAAGTGTAGAACAAGACCCATTTCATCTTTCATTCCAGATTTTCTTCATTTAATGTAACACTGTGACACAGTATAACTTCCTGGGTGACATATTAAGTTAGAGATATGTAACCGAACGATCAATCAAAATACCCAAATATGGAAAAGAAACACAAAATAAACGATGCTACACCATGACTCTTCTCGAATGTATATTTAGCGATAAATGCAGCCACTAAAAAAAATCGGTAGTACTGTGAATAGAGGTTGCAACACGAATATAAAGGAATTCAAAGCGTTTTCAGAAGCAGAAGTATAAGAAAATCTACTCAGAGTTCTTCACATGGTAGGCAAAAAAATGGCACCGAAACCAAACACTCGTCCTAATTAGTACTTCATCTGCTTACAGACCTATAGGCGTTAATAATCAGAATAAATACACCTATTAATTAATGTGTAATCCATTTGCATTCAAGTGCATGAGTAAACAGAGGGTAGGCAGTTGTTGATGAATATCTGTAGTTTGTTGGAAAGGTTTTTCTCAATGCTCCAAGTCTCTGAACCATACAGGAACACTGACTTGACATTAATGTGGAAAATCCGGATCTTGTCCACGATTTATACTGAGTGCAGAAGATCCCCACACTGGTTTCAGGTTAGTGAACGCCTGTCTTGCTTATTCGATCCTGACTTTGACGTCCTTGTCTGTGCCACCTGTAGTTGAAGTGATGCTGCCTAGATAAGTGTATGTGAGAAAGGCTACTTCGTTTAAGTTTCTCCCGTTGATGGTGATTGCAGCTTGTTGTTGTTGGTAGTGGTGGTGGTGGTGGTGTTGGTTGGATATTTTCATCACCTCTGTCAGCTCTGTATTCACTTGAAGTCCCGTCTTCGCTGACCTGCCTCTTTTGTTAACTTGTTAGATTTCGCCTGTAGATCTTCAAGTTTGTGTGACACTAAACATAAGTCATCGACGAAGTTGAAATCTTCTACGATCATTTCCCCGGTTCAGCGTGTTTCCCCATTCTCGCCCCTCACTGTTCACTGCATAATCCAGTCTACCACAATAAGGAAGATCATCGGTGACAGTGGGCGGCAGCCTTGTCCTACTCC